AAAAGAAGTTAAACTATATAAAAGAGTAATTGAACGTGATGAAGAGGAATCAGATGATTATACAGAAGATTATCCACCAATCATACAAGAAATAGACGAATTCGAAGACCTGATAGCTAGAGAAAAAAGTGGACAAGGTATAACGTTTTTATCCGACAACAACGAAGAATTGCTTAATAGATTACGAGTAATATTAGCGGCCATGAAGGAAGGACATCGATCACACAGACAATTTAATGAAGTGAATTGTATATTAAAAAGACTCCTAGAGAAAGGTATCATAGATAAAAATGATTATAAAAGCGTGATTGAAAATAGTCATTAAAAAATGTCAAATAAAGAACAACTATTCGTCATCACCTCGAATAAATCAGACATTAAATTGTCTCTAGATTATGAGTACGAACTCGATCGCAATCAAGAATATGAATTGGGATTAAAGTATTTCTCTGTTTACAATTCCATTAGAAATATCAACGAAAAAAATAATCAAATAAAAATATCAACAGATAATGGAGTTACATTCAAAACCATACGTTTACTACCAGGAAGCTACGAATACATAGCCATTAACGAATACTTATCTGAATATGCAGGAAGCGTCAATGGTAAAAACAATATCGAATTCGAAGGTAATTTTAAACAAAATAAAATTGATATTAAGAAATAATAGTCAAGTTGATTTTAACGTAGAAAATTCATTGAATACGTTACTAGGCTTTGATAAAAAAATATACACCCAATCCACTTTAGCACCACACAAAGCTAATATCAAGAATGATATCGATGTGATAAATATACATTGCAATTTAATAAACGGTGGATTTTTCAATAAATACAAACGTCAGATTATTTACAGTCTTCCAACATTCACTGTACCTATTGGATATAGAATTATAGAGAAACCATTTCAAACGACGTATTTACCACTTAATTCCTTTATGATTAAAGATATAAATCTGGAAATCAAAGATGGTAAAAATAGGTTTATAGATTTTGGTAACGAGGAAATTGTTATTCAACTTCATTTAAAACAAAAAAATTAACACTCTTCATTCTCTTCTTGAATAGTTAGATAATCGAAATCATCAAATTCATAGTTTTCATCCAAACACATCTCATCTTTATTGTTGTAAGGATACATAATTCCTTCACTGTTTGGTGCTTTTCTCTTAACGAGATTTAGATAACTTCTAAAAACTTTCTTTTGTTTT